CAATTTTATCCAATAACTGCAACTTTTCTGCAAATGTAACCAATCATTGTAGTTTCCTGCACAAAACATTGAGCCATACATCACCAAACTAATTTCTTTGTGTCTGTAAAGATGCAGACCTGTGCAATGCGAACGTCTCACAGGAACCCTCATTTACATTTTATTGTTACTGGAACAAGTTGCCTTCAATTTTGTAATGAATTATACAAATAATAATAATAATAATAATGTAATTTTCAATTTCTTCGCCTCAAATTATCACAACAGCGTCACACTTTTTTTTTTTTGAAAAGCTGCGATTAAATCAGGGATTTTAGGCTGCAACAATTCCAAAAATGCCTGCCAAATCCTGAGGGGGCTGTTTTTTGAGTGTGAACTGCAGTAATATTACAGGTTTTTTATGACAGAGTTAAAAAGATAAATACTAAAACTACCTCCATGACCACTGCACCTACAAAAAAAGTCTAAAAACTCTAAATAATAAACTGAGATAAAACTGTGTAAAACAAAGGTTTTATTATCCAAGGATCATGATCGCTGTCATCTTGGAACACAGAACAAAAAAATCCACCAAAACAAAGAACTAAACACATTATTTGCTATTTGCTAAAAAAGTACAGGACAAACTAAGCTGGGTGATGGCTGAGAGAGTAAGAGGCACTTTGTTCCTCACATGGGCGTCAGGCTTCTGAGCTGCAGTTTGATGTTGTTGCTATTTAATTACTGTTTCCTTTTCCTTCATTTGTTGAGATTAACAGTATCACAGACAAATAGGTCATTTGTCACTCTCTCTTTATAAAGTAAAAAAAAAAATGAAGTTCTTTATTTGTCTACAGAGGAACAAAACAGCATTCCCAACCCTAACCTCAGGAATGGTACCAGGCCTAACAGGCTTTACCAATAAAGAAGCATTAAGTTATAATCACTAATTCTTGAGACCTGGGACAAAACACGTCCACAAGTTGTATGTAAGTGTAAGCAAATTGCTTCATCTACACATTTTGTTGTTTTGCGACATTGTATTCAGATAAAATATACTGTATGTTATTACAGTTTGTTTGTATTCCTATTGTTATGATTTAAAGAAAATCAACTTTCAGAGTTTTAAAAGTTACTTTGTTACCCTAGCAGATGCACTGCAGACTGTTCTGATATTTGTTCAGATGAAATACACAATGTGAATAAAATGTTATGTATAAACAACATAGTCATTGTTTGTTTTAAAATACAGGTATTTGATTGGTTTCATTCTTAAACACGTTTTGAGTTATGTTTATGGTAAAGTTAAACTTCTATTATACCGTCCAATAAAAAAACACAGATGAAAATCGGTATAATATAAAAATATTTTCACATTTAAAGTAATGTTCTTGAGGGCTCGGACAGCCTTGGTTAAAATGTGCTTACATAAAAAAGAGGTGGCACGGCAAAAAGCACATTTTGTTAAAAAAGAGAAAGGTTGGGAGGTTGTATCAAAGCAGAGCACAGTAGCTGAGTACATGGTAGATACATGAGTGTTTATTTTATCTGAGCTTAAGGTTTTTTTTTTCAACTTTGAATCCTGCTTTGTCCCACTTCTCAAGAATCAGTCTAATGTTAACAACACAAAATAACACAAATTAAAGTTCTTCTCCATTCAGGTCAAACAGGGTCATGGATGGTGCTGCTGTGCATGTTGTCTCACACGGAACTGAATCATTTTGTATTTTACTTTTACTACTTTCTGTGACCAGTGGACAAATCAGTAACAGTAAGGCATTACTAGCAATACTATTACATTAATAAGTAAAGTAATAATTTTCATTTTGAAAAGAGTAATGAGTAATAAATAACATTTATTGAGTAACTAACCCAACATTGATCAGTAATAGCAGTGCATGTTATTGAAAGTTTTGAATTAATGACTATTGTGCTATTTTTCTCGGACCTTCTGGCGGCCGGTCCTAGCCCGCGGGCCATATGTTTCACACCCCTCAGTGAGTTAACATACTGTAGTCTAGAATTTCTATGGGTTCTGAAAAATGTATTAGCCTGTAGAAAACACATAACGTTACAGTGAAGGAAGAGGTAAATCAATTGACAAAAGAGTGAGAAAAAGTGGAAACATTGAGAAAGACAAAGTAATGCGGTGGGAGAGAAAAAAGTGAGGAAAACGAAAGGATACAAAGAGTGGAAAACAGAGCCGGCTTACAGTGTGAGAGTGCGAGCAGAGGACAGGAACAGTGAGAGACAGAGCTGAGAGGAAGAGAGGTAGAAGGTGAATGTAGTCTATTCTGTTCTGCCGCAGCTACCAGTCGGAGGGGGTGGGGGGTACTGCCGTTGATCCCGAAGCTGACGCGGGACGCTTCTGGTCTCGAGCACCGCGGATTTACTCCACCTTGCACGCGCACGATGATGGAAATGAATATGGAATGATAACGACCGACAGTGCAAGATGGGCAGGCGTTAAGATCAGCTTTAACTTCCCCCGGTGGCGGCTCAGCTTCGAAATGGTAGGACTAAACCTGTTCCGGTACAATAGTCTAATGTAGTAGAGTGTCCCTTCCTATTGGTGTGCTGTTCCGTGTTTTCCAAAAAAGACGCAATGCGAGGAGTTGAATGAGTAGCAGCTACGCAGCACAAAGTGGAGCAGTAAGCGGCGATAGTTCCATCCATTTCTCCGAATGTCAGCAAGCCTCTCTCCTCTGTTTCTCTCCGGCTGTTAGTTTGTGGCAGCGTTAGAACATTACAGGGTGTATATGTGACGTTGACTTATGGTGAGATTTTGTCGCTAAATTTCCTTAAACAATCTGGGAAATAAAATATGGACTGCGCGCCGGCGAATGTACACACCTGACACAACACAACTTGAAACAATGCCGAATTGTCAGGATCCACCCTTAAATTCGGCACACACGAGACACGCAAAACACCACATACTTTAATAAAATCTTAACTTTTAGAATCGGTGTTGCCCGTTCTTCCATTTGGCGTCTTCCGTCCAAACACAGCGTGCAGGGCGGAAGCCAGCAGTGTAAGATAATTACAGAACTTGATATTTTGTTGACAGAAGGCTCTTTTTGAGTGTTACATAGTCGCCGAATTTGCCAAAAGACCACCAAACAAGATAATAATGTATTTATCGCATGAGACTATACGTATGTGTGACATTAAACTAGTAAACTTTAAAGTCTTACAGTTTTTGAATGAAGTTTGGTGCCTTGGTCCCGCAGAACGGGATGTACTGGCGTTTTACAGGCTTTATCCCACCGGCAAATGTGGTCTCCGACCCCTGGCGGCGCATTAGTAAGCGGACAACATGCCTTGGTGTGTGTGTATCATCGAATGCAGTTGTGGGTGAAAGTTGTTTAGTTTGGGGCTTTGGAAGCAGCGGCAGGCCCCGGCTGCCCCCGGTCTGTTCGTCACAAAGCGACGGCGGAAGGCCAAGTTGAAGTTCACCTCAAGCCTGCTTCTCTCGGTTTGTGTGTGTGTGTGTTAGTCAGCAGAAAATGGCCGCAGTTAGAGCCAGCGGGCTGAGTTAGTATGACAGGCCGACAGAGGGCCTCCTGTCCCGGTATACAGCTGGGGTAGAGAGCCGTTAGGATAAACACAGAGCACAGCTGCAGCTGGCTGAGCCAGTGCTCGTGTGCCAGCAGTCTCGTTGGAAACACTCACTGCTAGATTCCAGTTGGGAAGTGAGACACTTGACAACAGCTCAGATGGCACTTTAGAGAAGAAATAAGTAAAAAGTTGCCCCTCCATCACCATCAGCTCCATTATGATACTTGACAGATTGAATTTAAGAAATGTTTAAATTGATTGCTGTGTGTAAATTCTCACACACAACACACTTGCAATGCCCACAAGGCTTAAATAAAAGTAGGCTGCTCTACATGTCTAGATGTAACAGTTTGTTTATTACATAGTTAGGATCATACAAGACTAATTTAAAGCAAAATAAAATACAATTGCCTTAAATGATGAGAGTAGCCTAAGAGTAGCCCAGTGAGTTCAAAGACTGATCATGATATCATTAGCCTATAGATGTGAAATGATGTGGCAACACCTTATAAACATATTGCCAAAACTTATTGTTCCTCCATTTAAATTTCTTTTAAAGATGAAATATTTTCTAATTGGTTTATTTGAAAAACTGCATATGCCTAAAAAAGTACAGAGTATAAACACCCACACAGCCTGTCATAAAAAGCCAGTGGTAGGGTTATATCTAACGGTCAGTTAATGGGAAGTATAGAGAAGGAAAAAGTATTCTGAGCAGAACAATGTGCCTATTACACAGCTATATTATTTGATAGTGCTAGTCAATGTAGGCCTACAGAATGAATTACCATTTTAGTGTTTCAATTGTTCAAGGTGGGGGCTCATTTTAAATATTTTAACATAAAGCCCAATGTATAACAATGCATCATATAGTTCATAACCTGATCTTATTTTTTCATACGTACAATTTTAATTTGTTAAGTAGCCCAACTTGTAACTGTAAAAGTAATGTAGTGCAGTAAAAATTAGGGAAACTATTATTCCCTCTGAAGTGTAGTGAAGTTGCCTAAAATGGAAACCCTCAAGTAAAGTAGGCTACAGGAGAAGTACCTCAAATGTGTATTTAAGTAGATACAGTATTTGAGTAAATGTACTTTACTTACGTTTATAAGCACATCATAACCCTTCACTGTATGAATAACACTGTGGGAATAACGGCCAAACTCCGTTTTACGGTGGACATAATGTGCTGCTTTGTGTTTGGGATGAACACAGAATATGCTCTGTGGAGACTCTCTGTGTTTACTGCTGTTATGTTCGAACACAAGATGTTTTTCAAGACTGTATGAAGGCACCAGTGGACGACAGTGAGGTAGTGAATGTAAAGCTAGTCCTGAGGTGAACTGTGATGTGCTGTGCTATAAGGCCAGTTTTTGAGGCAGAACAGAACAGCTGCTGCGGCTTTAAGCCCGTCGTTTGGGCTGGGCTGAATTCATAACGTCATTTCACTTCTCTTTCTTTTATTCTTCGCCCCCCCATCTCCTTCCCTCTCTAAATGACACAGTCCCCCGTGCTCCCTCAAACCTCCTGCCATATTCTCCCAAGAATGATTATTCCGAACTTTCTCTGTGTTTTTCTCCCTGCGGGGCATTTTTCCGGGGCCTCAACTTTTCTGGCGTGTCATCATTTCTGGAGTTAACGCGGCAGAGTCATCCGAGGCGACCGAGGCTCTCTCATATCTGGATTCTTAAAAAAAGCCCAGTTAAACACCCCAGGAAATGCAGCGTTTTCTCTAACCCGGAGGTACCGCTGCTCAGCTCTATCAGCGGGGAACAGCGTGTAGAAATGTGCACAGACAAATGACGATACTGTGGAAATGAAAGATTTCAGCCTAGGGATGTTTGTGTTACCGCTCAGCCTGCGCTGATTCACATTCTGCTCATCAAAATGATGTTTTCTCCTCTCTCTCTGTCTCAGGTAAAACTGCACTATGCTTCTCTGTGCCTCCTCACAACTGTTGTTACACTTGCACTGTTAGATAGCCTACCCTAAATGGAAATAGAGCTGCACGATATGGTATAAAAATCCTACTGCCATTATGTTGACAGATACTGGGACTGCGGTATTACTCACTATTAGTGGGAAAGTTTCGGCGACCTAAAAAAACCTGTGACATTTGTAAGGGTCTGTACCAAACAAAAAATATAATATAATATAATAAAAATGTTTTTTTGCAGATGTCCACAAGATTTGTAGGCCAGGAAATCTGTGCAGCACTACAGTACTTCATTATAAGGCTGTTTTGACACATTTTACCTTTATCTTGCGATTTGCATATTGCACTCGGCCATATTGCCATGTCGATAATATTATAATTAATTGTGCAGCCCTACATGTAAATGAAGCTATCATGTACCTAATTATCCACTGAGTTAATTTAATAATGAAGCATGTATGAATTGTAATAATAATTGTAATAATTAATGACACATGTCTTCATTTAAACTACTTCACCAGCTGTTGTCAGTGTGTGGAGTGGGGTGGGCAGATATGAATCATAGATTAATATCAGGAGCAGGTACAGAGTGAAAGGGTGGAGAGCTGAATCACAAAGACTGCACCAGGCCTGTTGAACAGGGACTTGAATTTACATGTGGTTATTAGCTTGAACATGCAGAAAGGAGTGTTTGAAAGACTGCGGTATGTTAGTTAGCTCGTCTGCTTATCGTATGCTTTGTGTGTGTGTATCTGTGCTTTATTTTCTGTCCGCAGGACTTAGATAGCTGCAGAGTTTTTCAATCTTACCCCATTTCTCTGTACAGGCTGTATGTAACGGTAATTATATATAACCTTACTTTTGTTGTCACCCCCTACTCATTTGAAATCCAACAATCCAATCACATCTTTCGATTCATTTTTGTAATAATGGATGAAACTGGAAGATGGCAATACTTATATTCAGCAGCTGGAAATATTCCCCTTACTTTGATTTAAGAAAACAAAACTGGATTTTAATTGTCAGAAGTCTAATTGTGGGGAGAAAGGAAACAATTACCAATTTTGTGTGAGAGTAGCAGAAAAGTAATGGTAATATAGTAAAAGTACCAAAAGAGTGACGAGTAATGATTAATAAATTACATTTCTGAGTACATTGAGTTTACTGCAACTACTGCTATTTTTACTCTTGAATTAGTTTTGCAGTGCTACAAGTATTCAGTTCTACTATAAGATATTTATTTTGCTGTAAAGTCTATTACTACTGTTGCTACAAGATATTTTGGTCTGCCCATTTTGACCTATTGCAGATATATTGTTATCGATGTTGGTATATGTTATCTGATATGAAAACATTTTTTTTTCAGGGGTACAATGCATAAAAACTTTGGTGGTAATATATTGATGTAAGTAGTGTTTAACCAGCACAGTGCACTGTGATTTAGAATACTGTGTCAAGCAGCACAGCGTAAGAGAGAAGAACAGATCTCAGCAGTGTTAACTACAATTGGTTGACAATATACATGTTTAATTATTGAACATGTTAAAGAACGTTTAACTTAAATATTCTTTAATAAAGTTATTTGTTTAGGAAAGCAGTCTTCTGAGTACCCTTTAAGAGTCCTATTGGAGCAAAATCTACACAGAAAAGGTTAGTTTCATTCTAGCTAAACAATTCTCTACTCAGAATTCCCAGGTTCTGTGAATGTCAGTTGGGTTTGGCAATATAATTAAATACAGATTTGTTAAGAGACTTCAGTTTAGGTAAGTGTGCGGTAGTGTGGAGTAGCGTCGCGGTATATTGGAGGGGGGGTCAGTGGTGGGGAATATGGGAAGAAAAACTGTTCAGTCCATGGAGGGTGGGGTGGAGTGGGAGTTCAGTCATTCAGGGGGAAGGGGGGTCTCCTCAGTGCAGAGTTTAGCAGGGTGACAGTGGTGTACTCAAGCAACATTATCATAACCATGAGTAGAGTTTCATGACACAAGATAAAGCATAGCATAGCATCAGCAATATTGGCCAGGTGAGGTGCCTGTGCAGAGCCCAAAGGATACTAAAAGACAGCACCCACCACTACCGCAACACACAGACAGAGACACAAGGGAGGGAGAAACACAAGAAAAAGACAAGGAAAAGGCAAGGATACAGCCAGCGTTAAACCACGTCCAAAGCTTGTGACGTAGCTGCCAGTAGTTCTTCAAGGACGATGATTGGTCCATTACCACTGTGGTTTAGACACAAGCATGCAGCTTGAATCCTGGCAAGATTGATTCTTGCTGTTCTGGCACTGCTGGAGAACCTTGCAGATGTCACACAGTTGGTGAAATCAAACTTTCCTCTCATTGTCAGGTTTGATGACTGAAAGGGAAGTATCTATGTGCATTCATGACTCGCAAGTGGAAATGGGGTCCTGCAATTGTGCCCGGTTCCACAATGATGGTTTATAACAGAGCCAGGCAAACGGGCTGTTTTCTGTTTTTGTGTGTTTTAGTTGTGAATCCACACAGAGATCTATACATCTGGCACCTGTTATTGTCCATTTCTCTTGTGCAGGGTCATTGCTGTCTTACAGATGTAGTGTTCCCCACAGCTGTTGTGTGATGTCATTATGATGTCATACACCACTCTAGTTTCTCTATGTTTTGGCTAGTATTTTGTGGTGATGAATCGAGAGCTCCTGTGAAGTGTGTTGTAGCTGTCACTGTAATAGTTTTCATCAATCTTGGTTGACTAAAATTATTCTACCTACTCTACTCTACCTAGTCTACTACCAATTGATTGGTCGATGGGAAAAAAAATCTTTCTAAGTTTCTAAGTTAGCTAACTCTACCATGAGTGCACTCTACCTGCTAGCTGCTGGGTGCTTATCAAAGTTACACATCATTGTCAAGAAAAGGCATTCCTGCATCTTTTTCCACACTATTTCTTTTTCACACCTAGCTATATCAGGACTACAGGACATATCAAGTATATTTACATACAGCAGCACCACACACACCGGCAAGGATCATTGAGCAAGCAAGCTGCAGCTCCACAAAAAGCAACATGAAAAAAAAGTTTAGTTTAGATGGCTTCAAATTACACTTAACATTTACACAGTTTCTCTCGACTGTCCTTCAATATTTAAAAAAAAAATTAGTCCAACATCCCCCAGCTTGATGCAGTAACCACTTAGCACACTAAAGCAAAGTTCAGCAGGCTAAGCAACACAATTAACAACAACATAAAACTTAAAAAGATTTAGCTTCCAAGTTTGAAGTTGGGTCATGGACAGCTGTTAACGTTATCAATCCATCATTGAGCTTAAACCTTTCGTTACTAGCCCCTGTTACTCCGTAGCAGTCCATAGTAAAATGCACAAATTTTTTTCCTTGCTGCAGTGGCTCAGGGTTTGAATCCGACCTGTGGCCCGTTCTCTCTACCTACTTTCCTGTCAGTCTTCAGCTGTCACTGTCAATTAAAGGCACTTAAAGCCCCAAAAAATACTAAAAGTAAATAAATAGCTATTGTCTCTGTGACGCTACAACTTAACTTGACAATGTGCATGATGTGCTACTCATGGCAGCCAGAAAGCTAATGTACGGAAACCATGGTGATGAAACAATGGCTTTCTTTGGCCACTTGCCTTAGTTATGAAGTTATGGCCACACTAGTTAGGTTGAGTTACAAACACAGTAGTAGTTACCAAGCTTCTAGTGGTAATTTTACACCATAACATAGGAGAGAACTTACACATAGCTGCTGCAACCTAGTCCTGGGCTGGGTTTTATTGTAAGGATACCAAGTAGCACTGCGTTTCAAACAGCGCTTCTGCTGTGTTGAGTCTCTTCAGCCTGGCTGCTTTGGGACGCTTTCCCATTTAAAAACATAAATACTGAAAATGAACATGATGATGTGACATCACTTGCTGTTGTGGTGGTGACGGTGACTTATGAATATTTATAAAGGTTATGGTATACATTGTCATTTCTGCTTGTTTTAGTCTGTGCTGGGACTCCACCTAATGCTTCTGGTGGTGGTGTCTGAACTTATTGCTTGTTTCATATTCATAACACAGTGGCTGTTTCATTGTTGTTTATAAGATGGTCAAACTTTTGTTTGCATATTTGTCTTGTGACTTCGTCCCTTGACTTTAAGTTAACTCGCTGATGTTTTCACTAACTCTTCTTGATCACTAAAATGATATTTTGATTTAGTTGTATACAATGTAGTTGTTCTCACTGACAAAGCCTTCTGTTTCTATTGTCTGACCAGGAATATAGTAGTGATTTCATCACAGCTTAAGAACACTACCTGTTAACCAAGAGAAAAACTAATTTCTGCACTGCTGAGACAAAAAAAATCTGCAAAGTCATTGGTCACATAGACATTTATTACATCTTTGCATTTAAAAAAAGTGACCACAGATAGAAGTGGAGGCAAAAGATAATTGGCTTCATCTTAAGGGATATAGATTGTGTGTCAACAAATCCTATGAAAAGACCAAAACCAAGAATGTGTTACCTTCTGACTTCCCTACCCTGTCTGTGGCTCTCATTTTCAAACTCATCCTATTATGAAGTCTTTAAAAAGGCAAAACAAATATACAGTTTCACTCAAACACAAGAAAATAGTGCATTTGAGGATTATTGTCCCCAAGAGGAAATACATTTTGCTCAGCTCCAGTTCCAGACAAAATTCCACCATTCACACTCACAAACCAAAGGCAGCAAGCTGCCAAAGAGTAGATGTAGCACTGGGGTAGATATACTGTTGGGTAGATGAGTTGATTGAAGGAAGGTCAGCAAAAAACGTGAACATTCCTATCAAGTGTCAGTGTTTGGTTTGTCTGTTCTGCATTATTGTAGAAACATGGCTCCAGAGAAGGCTACCCATGGTGTCTGTAGATATAAACGGCTCATTCTTAGGTGACCAAAACACAAGAATTATTATTTTCAGGTGACAATGAATACATATTTATGCATATTTATGCATAGAGCGAGTCGTCCAGGTTCGATCCCCAGCTCCTCTCGCTGCATGTTGAAGTGTATGAGTGTGTCTGAATGATTAGTTTCCATTCTGGTGAGCAGTTGGCACCTTGCATGGCAGCCACTGCCATCAGTGTGTGAATGGGGTGAGTGTGGCATGTAGTGTACAGCACGTTGAGTGGTTGAAAGACTAGAAAGCCGCTATATAAGAACAGTCCATTTACCATATTATATTGAGTTTCTGCCAGTACACACTGAATCTTTGACAGGGAGCCAGTGAAGTTGCTGAAGAACAGGAAAGGAGGGAGTTCTGGTGATAGTATGGGCTGCTGAGTTCTGGACAACAGCAGAACAAAAAAAAAAACCTAACAACAATAAAAAGATCCAGAGAGCAGCGGCAGCAGAAGTTTAGTTCCGCTTCTGTGTAGGTAACCTGAGTAGAAACAGAAATGTTAAAAGAATAGACTTGAAGACTCTGCCTCTGATTGGCTCTGACCCTGACATTTTTTTCTTACCCTAACCATCTCACTCCTCATGCCTGAACCTAACCAATCCAACCAACAAAGGCAACAAACACTAGACATTCAGTAGCAGAGTGGGGCTGGTCTTTGTGGAATGCTGGTGGGGGAAAAAAACAAACAAACGTCACACAGGTGTTTAGGGGTACATAGCTAGACTCACCAGGAGCTGGTGGTATGCAGTAAGAAGTAAGGGTACTCATGTAGACATGTACCTGTAAGTACTGGCCCCTTTCAGGCAATGCTTTGCTTTTATATGCGCAAAGAGTGAGTGAAACATGTAAGGATTTCCACTGAAGTGTATCTGTACTGTCAGATGGATGACTAAAAGCTGAAATATGTCTGGTGTAAACAGCATGTTACTGTACTTTATTTATTGCCTCTTCTCTCCCTTTCTCCTATGATATCAGATCAGATGTCAGGGGACACTATCTACGTCCTGTCCAGATGGGTAGAAATTGTTTGTCATAGTTCTGTCAAAGGTGGTGATGTATTAGTCAAATCGGAACAGTGTAGGCAGGATATTTAATGCACCCACATCAGTATTACCAAATCCAGCAGTGTGGAAGATTCCATGAGGACCAGGAGAGAAAACACAGCTCTGCTGTGTTCTTTCCTCATTATGCTGGTATATTGCTGTGAAAATAGAGCCCTTATCCATCTAAGGAAGCTGTGGTTAAAGTTGTTTGGTTACTGATAACTGTGTGTGTACCGCATGTGTTTGGGAAGACATTTGAGAGGAAGACATGTGGCTGTGGCTAAGAGGTAGAGCGGGTCGTCCACTAATCGGAAGGTTGGCGGTTCGGTTCACAGCTCCTCTTACTGCATGTCGAAGTCGAAGTCCTTGAGCAAGACACTGAACCCCAAATTGCTGTGAGTGTGTATGAAGGATTAGTTTCTCTTCTGGTGAGCAGTTGGCACCTTGCATGGCAGCCACTGCCATCATTGTATGTGTGAATGGGGTGACTGTGGCATGTAGTGTACAGCGCATTGAGTGGGCAAAAGACTAGAAAGGCACTATATAAGTATTGTCCATTTACCATTTACCAGAGAGGATGGAATTGCAATAGTTGATATGGGTATATATAACCATGGTTCCACTTGGTGGAGTGATAGAGCTGGGTGTCATCTGCATAACTGCTAAAATAAAAACAGATATGGACAAGAGTTTATCTGTCTTTCTGTCATGTAGGATGAGTTCCATCCGTTCATTGAGGCTCTGCTGCCCCAGGTCCGTGCCTTCGCCTACACCTGGTTCAACCTGCAGGCCAGGAAAAGGAAGTACTTCAAAAAACATGAGAAAAGGATGACTAAAGAGGAAGAGAGAGCTGTCAAAGATGAACTGCTGGGGGAGAAGGCAGAGGTAGGACGCATACATTGAATGGTGGAGAGTAGAAATACATTTTTATTTTGTTTTACAAATCAAGTAGCTAAAATGTACTTATAATAATTATGGACATTTTATTTGTTGTCAAACCATTGTTTTATAGCATTTTAATATACTTAATATACACACTCCCAAATTACAGTCTTGCAGCTATTTGTAATATGCTGGTACAATATTTTTTTGTATTAATTAATTATTAATTATTCAGTGTATTAATAGACTTAACTCACTTTACCATGTCATTCTGTTTCTAGGTGAAACAAAAGTGGGCCAGCCGTCTTTTGGCCAAGCTAAGAAAGGACATTAGACCTGAATGCAGAGAAGACTTTGTCCTGTCAATCACTGGGAAGAAAGCTGCATGCTGCGTCCTATCAAACCCTGACCAGAAAGGCAAAATGAGACGCATAGACTGTCTCCGACAAGCAGACAAGGTCAGCTAAACTCTGCCTAGTACATGTTCATTTCCAGTAGTTCCGTTTCACAGGTTTGGAATTGGCTGGCTAATAAGTAAATGATGATTTCAAAGCTTCTAACCAAAAATCATATCAAAGAGTGGATGATTTTTTCACACTTTTTTTGTTTTATTTTTGGAGAAGAGAGAAAGGGTTTGATAGTTCATTTTTCTCAGGCCAGATTGGGAGACAAAAAATACAGTCTGCAGGTTTAACGTGTTTTGATATTTAACTTGTTTTAATTGAACCCCTTATGATTCTCCATCACACGTTGTCATACATCTCAGACATCATGTAAAGGGTTTAGTTATGAAGGACAGACAGACATCTGGTCTCATACTGTATCATCTGATTCATGTTTATTTTTATATTTAGGATTCTGGCTCCACAGAACTGTTGCTTGGGTCTGCTTAATTCATTCAGTGACAGTTCGAGTAGCACTTCTGGAATTGTTGGTCAACATTACATGCTCATTGTGTAAAAACATGGCAAAAATATTGAAATAGCAACATGTGCTCCAATGAGAACTCTCACACAGAAATACAAATACTCAATTTCCCCCTCTGTTGATTTGCTCCATCCCACTTAATAGAAACACACATATTTATATCAGAAAAGTTGTCATGGTTAGCAGGTAATGAAATGAGAAATGTACAATAAACCATTTGTCCATTATAGATTGGAGCACTGGTGCAGTGATGCATATATTATATATATTATTGATATATATTGAGTTAGATTCATGTTATTTGTATTCAACAATGATGGCTTTTTGTTTTTTCCCAGGTGTGGAGGTTGGACCTGGTGATGGTCATCCTGTTTAAAGGAATCCCGTTGGAAAGCACAGATGGAGAGCGGCTGGTGAAGGGAGGCCAGTGCTCCAATCCAGTCCTCTGTGTACAGCCTCGACATATCTCTGTCTCTGTCAAAGAGCTCGACCTCTACCTCGCTTACTATGTACAGGAAAGAGGTATGTACCAACACACACTTTAATGTGACTCTTTGTTGTGCACCATCAAAGTGTGTTAACCTTCATTTGAGAGTTCAGTGATAAGATGTAAATGTCAATTTACAACATTGGGATATTGCACTGAATTTTTAGATGGATTTTACTCTTACCATTATGCAACCTAAATTATTAATAAACAAACACACACACACACACACACACACACACACAGCTTGGTTTTCTCTACAAAGGCACATCCTGAAGTGGGTGTGCAGACCTGCAATAGGAGATTAAATATAAATTTTTGTCTCCTCAGTCTTTATGTTAGGCTTAGAATTTGTTTTAAATTCAAAACATTGAGATCAGACATCTACATTTAAAACAATTTCCCCCTTATATAATGCTAACACAAATGAGGGTTTAGTGATGGACGATGAATGATCAGTGTTTAATATGGTGTTTTTCTGATTCACCAATTATTTTGCTAACCAACAGAGGCTAAGTAAGTTTAGGAGACAAAATGTAAAGTTTGTACGGAATCTGTCTTTATGATTATATTGATGTCGAATTGACAAGAAGACTGTTGACATGTGATGCCCTTTAGCTTGTGTGAGGACGTATTGAGACATTTCGTTAATAAGTCAAATTTCTTTAAGGGAGTTTGGCGTAATATTTTCAAAATGCTGTGTGTATTTTGTAACATTTTGTTAACACTACAGAAACACAAGTATGATAAAGTTTGTCTGACGTTGACTGCTTTTAGTTGGTGGTTTGATTAATGGTTTAATAATGCGTGTATAAGTTACTGACGGTGGTTAATCAGGTTAATTAGATTAGATTAGATTCAACTTTATTGTCATTGCACAAGTACAATTATCAGGTAATTGTACTTGTTTCTAACAGCAGTATGCAGTAAGTTTTTACCCTTTTGTCTGTTTATCACTGCTAAAAGTACAGAACACAAATAAAAACTAATATTTTTGTAATAATAATAGTGCTATACATATATAATATAATATAAAACAATATAATAAAAATAATAATAATATAAATGCAATAATATGAGCTTAGTGCTCATAGCAGCATTTTGTAAATGCCAAAAACACCAGAGTTTAATTTATGATGATGTCTTTATCATTCCAAAGCTGCCACTGTCACTGCTGCCACTCCTGGGCTGCAGCTATGGGGGTGGGCGTCCGGTGTGATGCAGCCAGAAACTGTTCACTGCTAAAGAGGTTAGCGTTGATGCTACTAGCATCAGTTATATCAGAACTGGAGAGTATTGAAAGAAGAGCAAAGAAAGGCACCAAAGGCTTTTCTCCATGGAATGGAGATGTGTTTGTTGTTATTCAAACTGACTTCAGTAAGAGTTTGACTACATTATAGATGGTGATACAGAGATGGTTCATCCAATTACCTGTCGAGTATTTTTTAAAAGTGCACGCCCTTTTCCTTTTCTTTTTCTAAACAGTTTATATTACGACGATATCCCAGATGGTTCTGTTTAACAAACCGCAGTCAGTTTACAAGGGCACAGACCTGTACTGCTGTCATTGGATTGTACTGTGTTAAGAGCTCTGCATATAGTCATTGTGGTTAGAGTCATCATTGTCCCGTTCTCCAGATAGTTGACAGTTCTCTGAGGATGTAAGCAGAAAGCCCGCTCCCTCCACCCAACAGTGTGTGTTTGTATGAGGTGAAGAGAGAGAGATGAGAGTGATGAGAGAGAGAGAGAAAGAAAGAAATTTAACCAATAACTCAGTGCTGTTTTCATAGCGCTTCAGAGCGTGTTTACACAGATACACAAATACGCATTACCAGAGTTTTAGAAATATCAAGGTCCAAACAGAGTTTAAGCAAAAGGAATTTCCAACAACAGAAAATGGGCCGTGGTGGCTGTGTAAACAATTGAAAATTTACATATATTTAATTGATTTCGATCTTCTATACAAGTACTAATGACTTAACGCTACTAATACAGAGCTCATTTGAATTACATATATATACCTCTTTCTGTTAATTCAAACTCAAACATAAGCGCATCAAGAACCCTAAAAATTTGGGTGATGATGACTAATTCATTTTAGTGTTTGTTTCTACGTGTGCAAACAGATCAGTACTAAAAGTAAATCCTGGACCAGTTCCTGAGGGAAGGAACATAAACAACCACACTAAGCCATCTACTAAATATTTTTGCAGACAAATGCTGTAATCCAGAACATTTTCCACTCAACACTGAATCTAGTCTAAGTTCAAAGCTCAGAGTGGCAACGTGAGGTCATCGCAGTTAAATCATGAGTGAATTTGTAAGCAGCTTGCCGTGAGCAGTCAGCTGGCAGCGCGTAGTTGTGTTCAAGGTGTGGTGAGCTGTCTTGACTGTGCTAGCTTTCGCTGACTATGGTGTGAAGAAGCCGGTGTGTTCGCGTCGCGGAGGCCATCTAGCATCAACTTTGGGTAATGGCAGAAGGTGGTAAGAATGTTGGTGAATGATTTCTTTTTCTTTCCATTGGCATATTCTATGCAGGTAAATTAGGCGAGGCTTCGGCATTTTAGGACGACCTAGTTTCTTAAAAGCGGAGGATTCCAACACGAGCCGTTGTATATAATGATTGTAATAAACTACAAACAGTGTAAGCAGGTTTCATTTCCTATCACAAAACAAGGCGGTGGCACGTAACTATAATCAGTAATTATTAACTCTGGATTGGAGTCTATAGAGGGACGGATGGGGGATAGGTAGCTCCACCAGGATGTCCATGACAGGGCACAGATTAGTGAAACGATTCGAATGAATGGTTTGTGGTGTAGAATAATTGGGTCTGTTTGTATTTTATCCGGGGATAGGTATATTTGATTGAGTTATGTACTATTAGCAATGTGATCTGTTAATTGATGGGGCTATTAATAGTGTGCAGAAAGAGAGAAGAAAGAGAGTGAAGAGAGTGAAGCTTCAGTGTGTCTTTATTTGTATGAGAATCTTCTTCTACCTTCTTAGGGTGTTCATTATGTGTTATTTGCTGATGTATTAGCTTTTTTTCATATTCATCCATGAAATCTATTGAACAGGTTTAAAGTGGGAGAATAGAGTGTGAACATACAGTCATACATAACTACAGATTTGACCATCTCAATTTAATGGTTTTTTCGTAATTGTTCTGACTTTTATTGTTTTCACTAGAAGGACAGAAAACTATAAATGAACACATTGGAATATGTAGTAAACAAAGTGTGAATAACTACAAACCCTTTCCTATTTGATTTCAAAGTCCACTTTGCTTTGTTGACAGCACTATGCAAACCTTGGTTCTCTCGATGGCTATCATGATTATCATCGATGTTTTCACTTCAAGGTGTCGCTTTAAGGGTCATTTTGGATTGCCTTCTTAATGGGTTGGGCTTCAAGTTTGATAGTGCAGAAGTTCCGGTTGGTACACAGCTGCAGCCTCAACTGTTCAAAGGAACTAGCGCAATAAGAGCCTTTATGTCAAATAGCTGCTAAAAAACACTATAAAGGAAACACAGCAAGAGATTTGTTTTGCAAAAACCAAGGAATGCATTAGAACAGTGGGAAATCGTGGCTTTGGTTGATGACCATGGTTTGGTTTCACCGCATGTTTTGTGTTGAGAAGGTAAACGATGGTCTCTACATGCATGGTTCTCATCATTATTATGTATTTCAACGCAATGACGCCAATACAACTCCAGGCTTGTAAGGGCTATTTGACCAGAAGGAATGTGGAGTGCTGCGCTAGATGATTAGACTCCACAGTCACCTGACTAAACCATCGAGATGGTTGGGATGAAGATAGAAGCGAGCTGACAGGCAAAGGGCACACAAAGTGCTCAGCTTCTGGATCTTCAAGCTGTTGGAAACCATTTCGGTGAACTCAACCTCAGCTTATCGAGAGAATGAGTGTTTCAACAGCAGTGATTCACTCACTTCATTATTTTATTTGTCGCAATTTTAAAAGCTTACTCAGGCTTTTCAATAGCAGGTCTAACAGAACTACTATTTAACATTTAACAGAGACCAAACGTCGACCACGGACAACGTTCAACAAGGGCAGGAAATGCTTTTAAGGCGCACTCACGGACAGGAGACCCCGCTCTAGTGGCTAGGTCGTCTGTTCGACAATTGAGTGAGAGGAGAAGAGAGAGAGAGAGAGGAGAGAGCAGACACAGGTGCATAGAAACAAGGTTTTTGGTTGAGCGCCCTAGTTCAGTGTTGGGG